CTCTGATGCGCCTACCCTCATTACCCCGGTTAGTGTGTCAATCCATCTCATCTAGGGTCTTCCTCTCCTGCACTGTCCCTCAATCCTTCAAAGCATGATACACCTCTCCAAAGACTGGCCCCTCCTGGCTACTTGACCAAAGCATGTGAGACAGAGCCTCAAAATCCTTGCCTCCAAGGAACAGCCTGGTTTCACCCTCTCCAGGCTGGACCTGTTTGTTCTCTTAGCAGTCCATGATATAGTCAATACTCTTCTCCAGCACCACAACTCAAAGACACCAATTCTTCTTCTCTCTTTAGTCACTGTCCAGCTCTCTGATGCATAGTATGTAATTGTGAAGACCATGGTCTAGAGCTGGTGCACCTTAGTCTCTAGATGGACATCATTGCTCTTCAGTCTCTGGAGAGGTCCCTGACAGTAGATTTCCCTAACGTAATTCTTTAGATTTCCTGACTACTGGTATTGATTGTGGAACTGAATAAGCTGAAATTGTTAACAATCTCAACCTCTTCTCCATCTGCCACTATGCTGTCAATTGACACAGTGGGGAGAATCTTTTTGATATATATATATATAGGGCCAAGTCACAAATTAAGGTAAATGTAACTGAAAAGTGATGGACTCAAGCTTGTTACATGTGATTGCAGCCCATATCTCAGGGGGAAAGGAGACGCTATCAATTACAGGAAATGGCTGGGAAGAGAGAAGCAATTACTATTAATTACGGAAAACGTACACTGTTCCAACTCTGTCCTAGTGGTCAAATGTGGCCATAACAGAGATACCACAAATGGATGATTTTTTTTTTTACTTTAAACAAATGCTTTATTTACACAATTTCTGGTTTATTAATGGAATTTTATCTGTAGGAATAAATGAGAAAAGCAAAGAGAATGGATATTCTTTGTCATTTAAAATCATCATCTCCTCACTGAATTTTTATGTTTATCTTGATGATTTTTATCAATAAATGGAAGATTTTTAACAAATAGAATGTATTTCCTTATAATTTAGGAGGCTAGAGGTCCAAACTCAAGGCATCGGATCTAGAGGAAGGCCAGGCCAGAGCTCACAGTGTCGACTGCGAAGGGAAGCTCGTGTTCCCTGCAGTGCCTGTAGGTCAATCTTCTTCCTCAGAAATCCTCCGTGTGTACTGGCCTTCCCAGGTGTCAAGGAGGTTCCCCCAGCAGGGGACCAGGTCCCAAAAGGTGCCTCCACCCCTGATGGTTCTTCTTTGACAGAACTGAGGTCACTGCCTTAGATTACACCTAGCGCAATCTAAGGAATCATGGGCCAAACCCTAGGGAAACCCCCCTTATATCAGATTAAAGCTGTGATGGATTTAAGGGGGTCATGCCTTTCATCCTTCAGTCTTTTACAACTATTTGGTTCATCGCATCATGAGAGATCATTACATACATGTATTCTGGACACAATTCAATCCATGAAGATGTTCATACATAACAAGGCCTTTTCAGATGAGATTCCCGCCTGTGTGTGCCCCTTCTTCTGCCACCCTCCCCTCCATTCTTACCCGTTATCCTTTACTTTCCCACAGCTCTTTGTGCCTTCCCCTGTGTGAAGTGACCTCTGGGCCTCCAGGCCTTAACCTGGACTGTTCTCTCAGCTTGGGGCCCATTTTATCTTTACATTTTTTTATCAAATGCCTAACTCAGACTTCAAAACCAAGTTCAGGCACCTCTACTGTCTCTCTGTGCTCCCAAATCCCCTAGACTTCAAGGTCTTGAAGCACCTTCTACATTGTCCCCTACTTACCCAGAGCAGAATGTTTTGTTAATTTGCTAAAGGAAGTGGGGAGTTGGAAGATGCTAAAGAACAGATGGGATCAAGATACCTTTCTGCACATCGTTTTTATGCTGCTCGGGGTTTTTTTTCCTTCTTATTATGACTTGAGTGTAAGTTTATGATGCTAGCTGGTTTCCCATTCAACCATTCATACACATTTTGCTCTATGACATTAATTACCCACCATGTAACCACTCTTCCCACTTCCTCCTTGTGAGTCTCATTTCCACTAATCTTTCTTATTCCTTCCTGCCTTCTGAGCTTTATCCCTGGGAAAATTTGGCCCTTTGGATCTTCTGTAGTTGATTATTCTAAGGATTGAGTGCCTTCCTAGTGTTACTGCCTGCCTCGTGTTACTCATCTTACAGACTTATCTATTGTTTGACTATACAGTGAGCCAAGTGAGAGGTGAGCCTTGTTCATTGTGTATTTTAGAGGTTTCACCCCGGACTGTCCCACTCATTCTATCCAGGAACTTCTACTGTGATCAAACACAGAATGAAAGAACTCAAACTCACTGCCATTCAGTTGGAACCGACTCATAGCTGACCTTCCATTAGTTTTCCAAGGCTACGTGGCACAGAGAAGGACACTGTCCATTTTTCTCCCTTGAAGCAGCTAGAGGACTTGAACTGCCAAAGAGATGGTGCCTTTGGATTAATTCCCCTGTGATCCCTTTGTGATTGTTATCTGTTACCAAAGATTGGAACCCTGCTCTATCCTGGCCAACCTCATGATCTCTGCCATGCTCAAGTTCATTGCTGCAGTCATTGTCTCTCCATCTCACTGAGAACTTCCCCTCTCTTTAGCTGACCCTCTGCCATTCCCAGCATTCCCATCTTTTTACAAGGAATGGCCACCATTCATCTGTCAGACTATACCACTCGTCTGTCAGTTTGCCACTCTGTGGTGGCTTATGGCTTCCTATGATGCTGGAACTGATGCCACCAGTATTTCAAATACCAGCAGGGCCCCCCCAGGGGGATCCAGTTTCAGCAGAGCTTCTGAACTAAGACTGAGCAGCAGGTCTGGCCATCCACTTCAGAAATAACAGGCCTTCAGAAACCCTGTGACTAATGGAAGAACACTGTGGTCTCTTGATCAATTATATTGCTCCATTTTTTTACCATCTGGATGTATTTTCTACTTGAAGAAAATTAAAATAAAATTTCAAAGACGGCTCTAGCTACTGTACCACAAAAAAGGAATGAACTGGCAAGCTCTGGTGGCCTAGTGGCAACAAGAAGCTGCACTGCAATCCCAGAGGTGCTCAGTTCAAATCCACCAGATACTCTGCTGGAGAAGGAGGGACAATCTCCTCCTGTACTAGTCAGATCTGATTTGATGGTACATACACACACACAATAATAAAATTTTTTTAAAAAGGAATGAACTTCTGATTCACAAATAACAGACACATATAAAAAAACCATAATGTTTCATGAGAGAAACCTGTTATATAAGAAGATATGCTGTACATATCCCATTTCTATTAAGTTCTAGAATAAGCAATGCAAATCTTTGGTAACAAAACAGATCAGTGGTTGTAGGAGACAGGAAATGAGGAGATACGCTAGGAAGAAGCACAAGAGAACATTTTGGGTTGATGGAAATGTTCTGTAACTTGGCTGTGCACCTACATCAAGACTCCTTGGGTTTTAATACCTAAAATATGTTCATTTTATTACATGTAGATTATACCTGCATAAAATCTATTTCTAAAATGCAAGAGAAAAACCCCAAATTGTCTGGAGTCTAGAAGTGTAGAATCCACCTATTGCCTTTGTGACCTGACTGAGGTGGTCTCACCAGATCACCAGGAAAGGGGAAGCATTCTAGACAGGAGACATTTGCTGTTGTTTTGTGCTGCTGCGTCAGGTACACCTCACAGCTGACCTCCCCAGGTTTTCAGTGGTAGTAAGTGTCAGGGGAGGAGATTGCCCATCTTCTTCTCATGAAAAAGATTGTTGCTGTTGCTGTTGTTGTCATGTGCCGTCAAGTCACCTGCCACTCATAGTACCCTATGTACATTAGCTCTGAAACCAGCCCTATTCTGAAACAGTCTCATCATCTCCAACAGACCTTTCCAGCAACTTCAAACTGTGTGCTTTTGGGTTGGCAGCTCAACTCCTTACCACTAGGACACAAGAGCTCCCTAAAATTGTACCTACCTGCACCACTTAAGCAGTGGAACACCGAAGGGCAAGTATGGAACTCTGCTTCCATTCAGATTACAGCCAAGAAATCCTAAGTCTCTGCAAACTTTCATTAAAACAAACAAACAAAATAATTACTGAGAAAAAAATTTTAAAGACAGATAACACATTTGAAAGACAAAAGGGGGGAGCTCTGGTGGCCTACTGGCCAGAAGCTACACTGCAATCCCAGAGGTGAGTGGTTTGAATCCTCCAGACGCTCTGCTGGAGAAGGAGGGACAATCTCCTCCTGTACCAGTCAGATCCGATTTGACAGTACACACACACACAAAAAAATGATAACATTAAAATTTTTTTAAAAAGACAAAAGAATAAAATAAAATCAATTGAACAACATCAACAAAAAAAAGATTGCAGCCAAGAGAGCTCTATGAAAGAGTCCTACTCTATGACACGGGGTTGTAACGTGGGGTTGACTTGAGTTGGAATCAACTCAACAAGAAAGGCTCTGGGTTGGTTTGGTTTTTAATAACCACGGGCAGAGAACAAGGGGATTCTGCTGGACCTGAGCACAGGACTGGGCAGGCTGAGGCAGTGGAAGATCCGGTTGGAGAGGTTCAGGGTAGCCAAGGTACAGTGACCTGTGCTGCCAGGCTGGGTGAATGTGCGATTTCATACCTAAATAACATGAATGGAGGAAACTCGGCAAGAGAGAGGTACTGGGGGAGGTTTCCCTGGAGGCCGTGAACAGGAGAGTTTAGAAGAGGAAGGATTTGGATGGTGGCATCACACCCGCTAGCCACAGGCCAGAAATAAACCTCAATTTCACAAGCAACTTTCTCTTCTTATACGTTTCTGGGAACTGGGCTGCCCTAAATTCTTCACTTTTTTCCCCCTTCCAAACTAGTTCAATTTTTCACAAGGCCTCTGACTTTATAAACATCTCATCCTCTGCTGTCACCCCTCAGTAAGGGAAGGACGGACAAAGAGACTAATCAATCTGTGCAACTGGTGACCAGGAAAGGGCTGAGGCTGAGGATGCTGGCCAGACCATACTGGGTGGTGGTGGTCCTACTGCTCCTAGCTGGGGTTTCCAGGTTTGGAGAAGGGGCTTCTAATCCCGGGATCGTGGCCAGGATCACCAGAAGTGGCCTGGATTATGGTAAGGGGGTTTGGTTGTTCCTTCCAGTGTCCACTAAGAGTGATGGGGGAGTTACAGTGCAGGGGTTCTGCTACTGCCTGGCTCAGAAGCTTTGGATATGTTGCTGTCCAGGCTTCAGTTCCCTTATTTTGAAATCAAGGAGGTAAAGATCAGATTAGATCTTGGCTTTCCCCAGGGTATGTTATGAATGTTAGAAACGCGGGAACACATGCTAAAATATAGATTCCTGGGCTCCACCCAACACTGACTGGAGACGGGCTTGCTAATCAACATAGTTAACATAAGACCTGGGCCATCAACCTCGAAGGTTTGTTCAAAACTACAGTAAAATTATTTCCCCAAAAATCTCTACTGAATTCTCTCTTTGCTTCCCAGATCTTTTTTAATTAATAAAGAGCATTGCTTGCCATTAACCAGTACTTTGATGGACTAATTTAATTCTTAAACTCAATTTGGTATCCTTGTTATCCACCTTACATATGGGGGAATCTGAGGCTGGGGAATACGTAGTCATTTACTCGAGGTTATATTCATCAAAAACATAAAGCCATCACTTGGAGTCAATTCTGACTCATAAGAACTCTGCAGCAGGCTTCTGAGGTTCTCAATCTTTATGTGAGGAGACTCTTGTCCATGTCTCTCGTGGAGCAGCTGGTGGATTTGAACCACTGACCTGTCATTACCCATGTAGGTGGCAAATCCTTGAATCCATGTAATTCTAAAGTCGGCCTGCCTGACTGTTACGCTAATCTGCCTCGCATTGCATGAACTGAATCAAAGCCCTTTCTGTTTCTCCCCAGCCCGCCATTACGGAGTGGCCATCTTGAAGAAAGAACTTGCTGGCATCGCTGTGCCCGATTTCGTGGGGAAATTCAAAAGTGGTTGGCTTGGAAGTGTGAGTTACGAGTTTCACAGGTGAGGTCTCTGTTCTCCAACACAGGGATGGGAGGAGGGAGAAAGGCAGGGGGATCAGCAACCAAAATGAGTCAGTGCTTGAATTAAAGACAGAAGGATCCTGGTCAGCTATGTGGAGCTTCTGGGAGGTGCTTTATGTTTCTTAAACAATCGTGAGGCCTACAAATCACTCACCAGCAGTGAATGAATATTGTCCTGCCCAGGCGCTTGGTTACTTTTTTATTTGCCTACATGAGAGATCTCCTTAAGACATGTGAGGCATTTGTAATCGATTACTTCAGGTCTTTCTAGAACCTATTTATATGCATTTTCATTCAGCCTCTTGAGGGTAGCATCCATTGTCTCAGTGAGGAATGAAGTAAGGGTCTTCCTGGTTCCTGCCTCCCCTGAAAACTTAATGGACCTTAATTATGTAGCTGCAACCGCCATCTGTTCAGTCTCCAAAGTCACCCTTCACTCTCTTTATCCACAGCTTGGCTGCATGGATGCAACCTAACCTGCCCAGGGTTCAGAACAGACCATGCAACATCCCCTGTCCATCACTAATAGAAAAGGCTGACTCGGAACGCTCGAGTCACTCGAGACAATTTCCTGAAAGCAGTGGGCAAAGAAGAACGATCTGAAATTACACACACACACACACACACACACACACACACACACACACACACAACGTCGTCCCATGTAGAGGGAAAGGCTCCTTCCACAGCCCTTGATCATCCCGGTACCTGGAGTCCATATTTGATTGTTATTATTATTTTTAACGTATCATCGAGTTGAAATGGACTCACAGTAGACCCTCCGGGGGATTTTCAGAAGTTATACATTACTCTGGAAATGCTATGAATGTGGAGAAATACTAAAAGTTGTACAAGGTGCAGGTCTTTTGTTCATAGGGTCACTATGAGTCGTCTACGACTCGACAGCACCTAGCAACAACAACAACACAGAGCTCTGTTAGCTTAGTGGATAGAAAGTTGTACTACCAAGCCAAAGGTGGGTGATTTTAATCTGCGGCCCTCAGGCCTGGTTTTGGTTTTGGTTTTGGTCAAACATTCTTCTAAGTGGTATAGCACTCATCTGCCCATTTGCTGTGCAGAGGTAACTTGTGGTTGCTGTGAATCTCAACACAGTGACACTGATGTGTCAAATGCAATAATGGTTACTCATGGTGGACAGTGTTTGGTGGAGTTCCCTGAGTAAAACAAGCTGGGAAGTAGGAGTGCCTTCTACTTCTGAAATAGCTTGCCTCTGGAAACTCTATGAACGTGGAGAAATGATGAAAGTTATACAAGTGTTCGGGTCTTTCATTCATAGGGTTGCTATGAGTCGTCTATGACTCAACAGCACTTAACAACAGCATACATTGCATAGAATGAGATTGCTCATCTTTCTCCCATGGAGCGGCTGGTGGATTGAAAACGCCCACCTTGGGGTTGGCAATGCAGCTTCTTACCACTAGGCCACCAGAGCTCCCTCACAGTAGATTACCGAGGTCTGTTAACATGTCCAGATTGGCCAACATTTGCAAGCTCCTCAAAGGTAGGGACTCTTCCAGTCTCTGTGCCTTCATGCTTGGATCCCAGTCTAACAGAACAGGATCTTAATGAAGGCTGCTTGGGTAAATTAACGAGTGCTGGATGGACAAGAGACACAAACTTAGTGGCCACAGAGACTAGGTGGTAATGTAAATGAGGCAGAGTGGCTGTATCTACCACAGATCAACCAGGAAAGCTGAGCTCACACTAGGGACAGGCTGGGGAGGGATTTAATACATGGGATTTGCTTCAAAGATGTTAGAAGACCTGAAGCCAATAAGGAATGATGAAGCAATCCAGAGAGTAGCATCAGTAGGATGGCACTATCAGCCCTATAGCCTGAGAGACAGAGGCTGGGGCATCAGCAAAACACAGAAGCCAACTCTTTAGGAACACAAAATAAGGGGTGTCCAACACCCTCTGATACCACTACAGAAATGTAATCACAGCCAAACATAGAGAGAACTCCAGGCACACAGAGAAAAGAAATACCCTGGTTTCTCCCTTCTTGCCATCCATTCAGTGCCTCCCATCAGCCAATCCTAAACAGAAGCCAGTTTTAAGAGAGTCTTCTAGAGAATGCCATTTCCACAGGTGGATACTATGCAATCTAGACTGGAACAAGGGAAGGACAGGGGCCTGAGAGCAATAAGCATGTGACCATCCTGGTGTTGACCTGGGGAGCACGTGCTCACTGATGGCTGTAAAGGAATCTCAACCTTCTCTCTTAATTTTTGTTTTTCCAAGAAAAGCCAGGAATCCAAATACGTTCATATCAAATTTCCCAATTTTAAAACAGTGGAACTGATCTACATGTTTAAAAACACTGTGTTAGACAAGAAAACCATATTGGTAAGTTGCTATGTATGGTCCACATGTGACCAGTGGGTGATCTACTATGGGGAGCACTTTCTTTTTTTTATTTTTATTGTATTGTTTTTAAGAGTACCATCAAATCAGATCTGACTGGTACAGGAGGAGATTGCCCCCTCCTTCTCCAGCAGAGCATCTGGTGGATTTGAACCACGTACCTCTGAGATTGCAGTGCAGTGTCTTGCCACTAGGCCACCAGAGCTCCCTGGGGAGCACTTTCAACCCAAAGTCAGACAATTCCACCAGGGGCTCTGTGAGTGGAAGATAGGCAGTCTCCTCCAGAGTGATTCATTGCCTCTGAAAACCCGCTGGAGGATCAGTTATGAGTTGATTCCAACTCAATGATATATGATAATCTAAATATATGATTGTTAAATGTAATGATTTCTAAATGGTAGACTACCCTGTGAACCCTACCCTCTGCCTGCAGTCAGCAAGGGTAAGGAGAGGAGAATGCAGAATTTCTAGAAGATCCTAGGGCCCCTACTGTGGAGACAGTAGCTATGACTCAGAGCA